TGCTGGGGATCATCCCTTGTTGTTTCAGGAGGGTTCTGGGGACGTATAGGGTTTAGGGCTTTCACAGGTCCAAGTACTCCATAGTTGGGTGCTTTGGATTTGCGGGTGTCAGGTGCAGTGGCTGGATTCGAACGACTGCAGCAAAGGCCAGTGCTGTCTGGGGAGTAGAGGACTTGCTTGGTTTTTTTTCCTTTTTTAACAGGGGTGCCGCTAGATCCTCTAAAGGGGCTAGGAGGATATGTAGGGTTTGCGGCGTGAAGGGATTGAGGTTAGTGCTTGTCAGAGCAGGCCCCCGCGGAAGGTAAGGGTGTATTGTGGTGGGGGTGGGGCAACTACTTGTGTGGGTTTCCAGCCATGTTTGAAATCGGCTCCTGAGGAAGTGTTGTGATTGGGGAGGGAGGTGGGGAGAGAGATTCGTCTGGACACTATGCTGCAGGTTATAGAAAGTGGGCAGGGGTTTCCACAAACCTTGGCGCAGCCCTAAGGTCTTAGCTTTTTTCCCGGGCTTCAGCGACAAAAGCTGTCTAACCACTCAACTGGAAGGAAGAAGCAAGCTTACTTCTGCAGCTGTAAATTAAAGTCTCGAAGCAATACCTATTTCGGACCCCCATTAGATGCGATTCGTCTGTTGAGTTGGACTTACGTGACTCTACTTTGAGACACGGGGAAGTGGATGCATGCGTTCGGAAACAGCGTTTTGGATCTTCAAAGTGGTGCGAGGTTGCCTCCGCCCATCGCATCATTTGGCTGCAAGGGGGTGCCATCCAGACATACAGAGTTGAGGGTCGGGGGTTCTGAACATAATTTCCCCACTTCCAGAACAGCCGCTCGCTTGCGCTCAATGTATGTACGCACGTATGTGCACATATATGTATATATTAGGTACATTCATGCCTTTATTTGCATATACACATGTACACACATATTAGAAAACATACACATATGCCTACATATTCATATCTATGTCCACATCGATATGTGTATCTTTTCATAGCTCCATATGCATACATGTGAGTGCACATGTACATATAGGTATTTGACTACGCCTATGTATTCGCATACGTAACGTATAGTATGTATAGCTATATGTAAATGCAGATGTATGTGTGTACATATACGTGCTGTTAAGCCTTGCTGTATGGGCACGCGCCTGCGTACAGTATATGCATGTCAGTGTGTACGTGTGGATACATGTATGTGTAGGTGAATGTGCGTGAGCTTGCGTATGTGCACATGCATATGTGTGTGTGTATACGTTTTCTGTGCACCTTTGCTCCTTCCTGCCTACATACATGCGTACATAAATTACATAAACATACATACACGCACCCAGATACAACCGAGAACGCCAGGTTTTGAATACCTGTACCTGACGAAGGCGGACTATGAGAAGCTTCCTCCAGGAACTGTCGAGGCGCCATTTAGGATTGTTCCTGGTATTGCTTGTTCTGTTTGTTAGAGTTTGAAGAGGGCTTTTCGTTTGGGGTTTAGATGCTTTGGAGTCTAGGGCTTCAGGGATTTATGTTTGAGAGGCGCCGGTTAAGGGGTTGATATTCAGGGTTTTGCTGTTTTTGGGGTTTGCGGGCATGTCATGTGGTTTCAGGGCTTAGGGGCTCTGAGATTAGGGTTTGGTTCCCACGGTTTTGGATGAGGTGGTCTTCGAGAGATTTAAGAGTTTGGGGCTTAGGGTCGCAAGTCAAGATATGCGGTAGAATAGGTGTGAAGGCTTGCGTTTGCCTTCCTTCTTGGGGTAGCAGCCCTGACCATGCACTCCAATTTGTGCTGGCATGTCAAGGAGATCCTACCTTGAGATGAGCTCTTACAGGGAGATGTGGCGAGACGTCCTGATCACAAGAAGTAATCCCTTAGTTAGACTGTGCTGATGATATGTCTTGCTCAGTGGTAGGGGGTTGATAGGAGTTTAATCTGCTGAAGACATCACCTCCACACTTGGCACCTCCACCCCTGTTAGATTTGTTCATGCCTGCAATTCCGTCAGGGCTGAGGAGTTGCTTCTTCAACGATTCTGATGTCTTTGGGGGGTTGTACAGTATGTTAGCCTATCTCAGCAACACATGTTGGGCCCCACATATCCCAAGGCCTTCTCAACAACGGTACGCATCCCAATGGCAGGCCTCGAAGAATGGTGACGCTTTTGCAGGTACTAGTGATCCTATAAATTCGAGCAACATCGTCGTCTACCTCAGTAAGGCCAGTATCCAGCCCGAAACCCTAAGCCCCAGCCACATGGCCCAGGCCAAACCTCCGACTGAATACCCAAGCTTGCGTCAACAAGTTGAGATACACCTACACCTCCTAACCTTTAAAACCATGCAAAGGACAATGCGTAGATAGGCTATTACTATAAAGTGATGTCTGCAAAGTCTAGGCAGTGTCTGAGGATTCAGTTCAGGGTGAGGGGTTCAGATTTCAGGCGAAGCTGAGTTGCCCAAACCAAGCAAAGAGCTGCAACACATTGAGTTACCCTTCTCCAGAAGTCAAATGCTAAAGCACCCCCCCATACAACCCCCAAAAGAAAACTTAAACCCTCCAAAAGCTGCCTAGACCTGTCTGGCGTAAGTCGATCTCAAGGCATTCAACGCACAAACCTGACAGCCCTTCTGCTAGTGGAGCCTCAGAAGGGACCTACGGGATTTGCAATCCCGTAGGGAGAACAATGCATGATACGGGAAGTGCTTGAGAGACTCCCATGTCTTGACAAAAACGCACCAATCCTTGCATACCATACGCATACCCTACGTACATACACTGTTCACAAGCACTCTAATCAAGCACGCCGCTGGATGCCAAGACCCTATAAGCCCTTAATCCAGAACTCCAGCTTCTATGAAACCTCGTCAGAGGCCCACAAGGTGTCGCAAGGCGGGGAGGAGCGCTACGTGTTACCTGGCTGCTCATTGCACCCTCCGCTATGAAGACCGCAGGTTGTTACAAGGGTCCTTTTCTAACGTCCACTGAAGCGAACAAAACGCTGCATGGGGAGGTGCAACCGTAACTGCCGGCCGCCAACCCAAAGCCTTCAGACCAGACTCCAAATTCACAAAGCTCTCAGGTCTATATGCCCCATGGTGTCTTGGCGGGTGCGGAGGGACCACATGACGTAAGATATTGCATGCTGAGGCTTCAAGTCTTCACGCCTCTCATCGCCTTTCTTCGATGGGGTGTGGGGGAGCGGGATCCCCACAGCGATCCGCTCCTAAAATCTAAAATGTAATTTCCATACAGAGCACGGTGTAACGGCACCTGTGCTGATTCTCCTTCAGCACCGGTGAAGCACATAGACCTGGCCTTCGCTTGCACTCTCCTACAGAAATGAAAGAATTCAATTTGGACCACAGAAACACCACACATGAGCCTGTTGCAATCTCAACTACCGTATTTGTGTATACATATAGAGAAAGTGGCTAGTCAAGCTCAATCAGGGTGCCACTGGTTTCTAGAAGGCGATTCTAAAGACCATGTGGGATGCCTTCGGAGCTGTCTCCGGAATTTGGTAGGGTTTTCTATGGGTATAAGACGAGGACTGCACGGAGATGTTTGAGAATTACACAGGGGCTTCGGAAGGATCATTGGATGTGTTATGAGCCCAAGCCCAATCCGCAAGCATATCAAACTACCCCTGAACCCTAGCCGTAAAAGCCCCAAACCCTCAACTCTCATCCCAACAGCCTTCAACCCTAACGCCCAAGCCCCTAAACCTCAACACCAAAGCCCTGATCCAAGGAGCCGAATGGAAAGCTAAACGCCAGCACAGAAGTCCAGATAATGCGATGCAGTTGTATTTTGCTAGCTCCCCCGGCCTTATTTTTTCTAGGAAAACGCAGTCAATCTCATGGCCGACGCTTACTTTTGTCAGGTCATCCCCACCCTAAAACGTAAAGTGTCCAAGGTTGGATGCCATCATTGGCGAGGGACAAAAGAGCACGCAGCCACTTGACTGAAACGCAGCTAGATCTGGAGATGCCAGAAGCATGAGTCGCTTTCCCGGCTTAGGCTTCTCTGCTCAACGGGTTCCTCCTCAATCCCTCACCCCGACGCCCTACACACTCAAGTCCATTCGAGCTTTTTGCTGTGGCTTTCAAGCGCTTGGTTTGTCTTTTGTCAAACAACTTCCTCAGACTCCTATGTATTTCGCACGTGGCTTGGTCTTAGGGAATGCTAGCTGTTGTTGGAAAGAATAGTGTTCAGTTTGTGGGCTTGTTGGGGCGCCCAACGTGTGCTGCAGCGCATGAAAGAGACACTTAGGTCCTGGGTCTGATGTACGTAGCTTTTGAATGAGCAGATCAGTGAAGTACCCTCCAGAAGCCAGGGGTTGTTTTTTGGCCAGCTGGGGTGGTTATGAAATAGAATACGAAATGCTTAAACTCTGGGTTCGCTCGTGCCCACTGGATGCCGTTTCTCAATGCAAGCTGTCTCAATCATCTTCAGCAACATGAACATTAGAATCGAGTATGCCCTATGAGGGTTTGAAGCGCCTGAAGACTTTGGGTATGTCCTTTGTCCTTGCGTCATGATGATTGCAAACCTGCCGACCTAGTGTGGATATGTGCCAAACGCATAGTCCTCTTACGCTCCACATTCTGCACCCAGCACCTTGGAAACTCACAGCGGAAGATGGAAACCTAGAAAGTACGTACTAGAACAAGATTCGCAGAGTTTGCCTTTCCTGAATATTGATTTGAAGCTTCACTTTCCAGAAAGGCTCTCTTCCAGAACCTGCATGATTTCAGTGTGCCATGCCTATGCTTCAAATGTACAGTCAGAGCTCTGTTCTTCCTAGTTATATCTCTTATGAGCGCGGGTATTCTTTCCCAGTTGTCTGGGGTGCTAGGTACTAGCCCTAGCTCTGAATGCTATCCTAAAACCCCGCCCACCGCTGCCCTTTCACGAGCCGGCAGCGGTTCAACAATGGCCTAAACTCCTAAACTAAACCCTAAACGGCGGCACACGGGGCGTTGTGGAGCAAAACTATCAGAAACATGAGGGGCGGCATCGGCGTGGAGAACTTGCAAGGAAGTGGCCTCATCGCTGGCGAGACGAGCCGAGCCTACCAGGACAGGCGGGCTTTCCAGATAGAGTGCTGGGCTTAGGGTTCAAGAGTCTGAGGATTGCGGCTTACAGCCTAGAGGCTCTGACGTTTGATGTCTGGGGTCAGGGGTCTGGGCTTCTTGTACAAGCCTGGCAAAGGGCCAATGCCACTTCCTTTCCATTTGGATATATTCTACTGTATCCTGTTTGCAGAATTGTTCCAAGTGTTCGCCCTAAGTTTGCCGATGAAACGAAGGCCGTCCCCAAGCCTTTGTTTAAGCAAGATGTGCTGAATCAAGCTGAGCCCAAGCATTATACCCGCTCAATCTGCCAATAGCTTCAAACAAAAGCTTTGGGTCCCTTTAACTTCCCACAGGAAAGCCTGCAGGACCGTTTGCAGGTGTCTGCTCAACTAATTCGACGAAGTCTGCTAAACACGAACGCCTGCTGAATTCAAGGTGCCAAGCTGCGCAGGAGACTTTCACGCTTTCCTACATCACGGGGCGCTCCGTGGGTATTGGTGCCTATCTCAACCGTCTGGGTCAGCGAAACATCCAAATGGCCGGGGCCCTGCAGCACTACATCCTGATGGTGTGGGGTGCCGGGATTAGGATTCGGTGTACATATGTTTCAGGGTTCAGCATGTCTCAGGGTTTTGCGTATTGAGCTTCTGCGTAATTCTATATGCTACCCGATTTCAGGTTATGCTGCAGGCTGTTTTGTTACTTTGTAACCCTACTTGTAACTATGCAGCGTTTACCGTGGGCAAATTCTGCTCTGAAAGTTCTCTGTCGGGTATGATAGCATAAGGCTTCAAACCCTTGCTACAGGGCCAGGTTCTGAGCTGGCCAGTTCGGGACGCTGTTTCGGTCTATACTAGTATAGTATTAATCAATCTTTTTAGAGTGTGAACTGGTAGGGTTTGATTCTTCTTCAGGTGTGAGGATGCCAGGGACGGCCGGTTGGCCGGATGGGGTAGGGGAACTTTGCAAGGTGGTTCTTCTGTCTAATTCCTATTCGAGAGTGATGTATATACCTGAGAGCTTTTGTTTCCCAGCGCTGTTGTGATCTGTGCAGCTTTGGTGAGTCGGGGGTGTTGGGAGTTAGCTGAGTTGGCTGTTGGCAACTTCCGCCTATAAAGCTAGCTTATCAAGGACTTCATGGTGTAGCTTTTGCAGCCTTGTGGATGCTTGATTGGCTTGGTTGTCCAGTTGCCTGTCACTGTCCGTTTGAGCCGTGCATCCAAAACCTTGCAAGCTTTGGTGAGCTTCCTGCATCCTCAGGTTAGCAGCCCAATGATCTTGACGGGCTACGCTGCCTTGAACAAACTCTTGGGCAAGAACGTCTACTCCTCGCAGGCTGAGACCTACAGTGGGGTTGGGCTTAAGGTTTAAGGTTAACAGGGCAGAGTTCCAGGCGCGCGTAGCTTGAGGCTGCTGTACTTTAAGTATCCGAGGCAAACGTGAACAACAGTGCGCATCGCTTGCAACATGCAGCACCAGGACATATTCTTTAATTATAACTAGCTGTCTTACATTCGCAAATATATATATATATAAAATTATATGTATATATATATAGATCATATATATATATATGTACATTTTGCTTGGGGTTGTGCTAGACTCTCAAGACCCCAAAACTCTCAACAGCCCCTCAGCCCCATGATTGAGTTGGTTGGGCATCATGGTCAAGATCTTTCAGGGTTTAAGTCAGCACATCAGCATAATGATCCCTGCAACAAGGGCCTAACCGTTTTCGTGAACTTCCGTGTAAATCTGGGCAGGGCCTGGTGGCCACTTTGGGGGATTCAGGGTTTGCAGATTTGGAATTCCCAGCGATGCCTTCAGTACGCAGCTGATTGGCGAAAGCCTGGTCTCAAGCGGGGGTTGCTGAGAGCTTGCTGGAGAGTCTCCTGCAGACGGGGTACTCCAAATATCTGTACTCGCGAGCACCTATCGGAGATTATGACGGATTCTGGCCACTCGATGAAAAACATTCTTCCGTACTTCAGGACTAGAAGAGCATTTCGTCCGGAAGGTTCAGTGATCAGGCTGCCAAGTACAAACTGACGGCCCTTACCTTGCTGAGGTAGCGGTTCGGTTGTGAGAATTGCACCTGAGGCCTATCCGGCGGTGAATACGGTAATGTTTTGTTTTTTTTCTCGTCGTGTTTCCTGGACTACTGGAAAGGCGCATATTGTCGCGCAGTCATATGCATATGTGCATGCGCATATATATATATATATATGTATACATGGAAGCTAGCATATCCCAGGACATTGTGACTAAGCACAACTCTTCCACTTCGCTGAAAGAAGATACTCAAATCTTGTGATCGCAATTGCAGGGCCTTACACCTTGTCTCTTTTCTGTAGACATAGTACCTGGACAACAGCGTGAGGGAACCCCCCCCCCGAACAGGGTATTCTCTTGAAAAGTTATAACCGCAGGACCACCCTGGATAGCGATGCCTAATCCTCCTCTAATACCTTTGTAGAGCACCAGCTAACAGTCTGGAGGATCAGCTTGGTGGGCCGCAGATCATGGTGCCGAACGGTGTGACGCATCAGGCGGCTCAGTGAAAATGCCGCATGCGGGGCATTTGGTTACACAGCTATACTCTGAGATCCCAAGTGCATGAGACGTTTTGACCATACTGCAAGCCCATCACAACCCCTTCACAATTCAACTACTAAACTAGCTAGGCAGCCCCGCCCGATAGAGTTGGGCAGAGTCTCATAAGACTAGGCATGTTGGAGTTCTTCTGTATCAAGTCTCACAAGAACAGAGCTTGGAGGCGTCTCTCCAGGTCCAAAGGGCTATTTTCGGCCGATGGTAGGTGATTATCTGGGTACCTTCATTTTTCGAGCAAGGAAAGCTTCACGAAGTCTTCCAGCGTTCAGAGGTGCCATGCTAGGCGTTCATTGGGGGCATGATGGTGCTGATCTCTCTGGAGGATCATAGGAGAACACACTTGACTTTGACCAGTGCGGAAAGGCAGTGCTGTTGGCTGCTATTCGTCGTTGATTGTTGCAGAAACCGAAGTTTCTCAAAACTACCATACCTAATTCCTACTAAGGGGCCAGACGCCTCCCCGTAAAAGACAGCAACATAATCAAAGCCTCCCTGGCATCGCTATGACAGATCTTGCGGAGAAATCCTAAATGGCCTTCGCACGTTTGAGCTGACTTCCCGCAGCTTCTGCGCTTCTGTGACAGTATGCTTGCCAGTGGAAGGAAAGGAGTCTTCATAGCGGTGTGTCACGGTCAAGCCCAAATTTATGGGTAAATCGGCCATTAATGTGAGCATTTATTTTGGCAGATCCAGGTAAACCCTAAATCTGCTATCGCAGTTATCAGCTGAAGCGTCAGGTTGTGCGGGACGATCAGGAGGTTGGGAGCAGTTGGCTGAAGCTCATAATTACCGACAGTTTTTTTTGGGGTCACTGGAATGAGGATCAGGTTTAACCTAGGGATACTTAGCAGGAATGCCCGACTTGTTGCCAAATAAACCCTGTTTGGTCAGTGTGCAGGGCTTTTTAGGTTGCTGTGATGTACGGATCACCAGAGTCGATTTGGAGATACACGGGGTCTGACAAGGGGGCCGCGGACTCCGGATGTTTGGGTCTGCAGGTTGTAGCAGCTCCCATTCTAACATGCCCGTACAAAGTACAAAGTACAAAGTAGCATGTGCATGTCCCTCCACTTTCTGCGCATCATCCCCATGGCAACACTAGAACCTTGGCATGTCTGGGAATATAGAATCTACGCAGCTGTCAAATGCAAGATGCTGAAAGTAGGCAAAGCAGGGGTCGGAGTGGCTAGGAGGCCCTGCGGTCTAAAACACTTAATCAAACACACATACACAGCGGTGAAGAAATTCTGGCAAAGACATGAGGCGGGCAACGATACAGTCTAGACATAAAACCCGAAGACTCGAACAGTGCTGAGGGGCAAGTACAGGCTAACTAGATTACACTTGCAGGTACCCTTCATCTATTTTTAGCGCCCTGGGGTCCCTGACGGTCCCCCCCACAGTGAGATCATCCTTACTGGCTCCCAAAGCTGAACACATCTTTCGACAGCTTCCTATATGCTGCAAGTTTTTTTGTTTGCAAAGGTTGCTTGTTTCTGCAGATCTCCTGATCTCCACCTCAAGGATATTCCAAACCCTATATCTACTCCACCCTTCTAAGCCTTCAAACCCAAACCCCAAGTGTTTTATCATGTTTTTGAATTCGGAGGCCTAAAATCTACACGCCAGCCCTCAAGCCCCAACCGTACCGATCCCTGCAACCCTCAAGTACCTGAGACTCGAAGCTCTCAGCTCTTCCCTGGTTTGTCTATTGTCGGAATCTTGAATTATATGGCTTCATCTGAATTGTGTGCCCTCGAGGGGTGTTTTCTACCAAGCAGCGTGACCCTTGCAATTTTGCAGGGCATGGCCGCGATCTTGGACTGGCTGTCTTACGTTCCCAAGGAGCCATGTCTGTGCCTTCCAGAATACTCGGCTCCGGAAAAGGATGACGTGACTTTCAGTGCAGGTAGTTATATGGGGTCTCTAATCTGAGAACAGGCCTACGGAGTGACACTGCAGATGCAGCACAGCAGACCCGCAACCATTCCTCGCATTGATTCCAGGACTTGCTATATGTTGGCCTCCTTTTCAACAGAAAGCAGTCTTTGTGTCCAAGTCCACAGATGTTGCTATTTTGTGTTGGGATTCTGTGCAGGGTCCAAAAGCAAACGACGTCCTGTATCTCACCATTATGTCAGAATTGGGTATGATCACTTCTGAATACGGGAAGATACAGGGAGTAGGCAGCTGAAGATTGGCAATTATGTATGAAACAGGTTTTGGGGCGTGATGCATACTTGATCGTGCTATCCGCTATCAGCAGCGTAGCTCTAATACCGTGTGGCACGTACGTGGCCAGGATTTTTTATCCTGCAGCCCCATGCTCATACGCTGCAGTTCTAAAGGCTGACCATTTTCTGTCGCCCGCTGAAGTCAGAGTCGATCAAAGAGCTTTCCGAGCTTTCCTGTATGAACCCCGCTACGGGAGGATCCCTACTGTGAGAAACCCAGGAAAGTATCCATGATTAGGTAACCCCCTCAATTCAGGCCTTTTATTTGGCTTGAGGTGTTGCCCTCTCGTAGATGTCCTGAACCCCTTGACACACAGCTCTTGCCTGGCTTCAGGACATCTCTTGCTTACCACCAGTGTGCATGCTCCTGAGAGACGCCGATGGCCTTGGGGGTGCTTGAACTTTTTTGGGGGTCCCGTACACGCTTTACTGTTTGCTTGCCGACGTCCCGGGGTTTCTGCTGTAAGCACTTTCAGGCATTGTCAGGAGAGGGCCCTTGCTCGTCGCGCCAGGATGAACGAGTTTTGCTGATCATGGCAGAGGTTCAAAGGGGAAATGAGGCTTTGTCTTGCTAGTCTACTCAGCTTACTGCCTTGTTTTGACAAGGACACGAGGTATTCAGATCATTCAACCCGTCGAGGCATCCTGCCTACCTGGTGAGCCAAGATGTTCCATGGTCATCTTACGGCGCTGTATACGGATCATGCCCCATTGTAGTCATGGGCATTTGTACATGCTCACGTCTTTTGAGTTTACCAGAGCTTGATGTTCTGTCTTCATACAACAACTTACTCGGACAAACCTCAAGCCTGCAATACCTGCGCACTTGATCAAGCTATCACAAACATAGAACTTACTGCTGAAGGACTTTACTGGCTTCTAGCTTGTGCCAGGTTAGCCAGACAGACCTCTGAGCAACAAAAGTAACTTTGTCTGTTTCCTTCCTGGTACATGAGTATAGTTAGAATGCACCCGGACAGGAAGTACGTCAGATCCTCTATACTATATAGTGCATATTCCACAGTGTTGTCCAACCCCATGAAACCATGTGTAATTAGTTCTAAGCCCCACGCACAGAGAACCGAAGGGAGGACCCTTTGAAAGCTGGCCACAAGCCCAACATCCAAGACTTGACGCCCTGAAACCCTTAACCCTACACTCTCAAACCTTGCGCCCCTCAAACCATGCGCCCTAATCAGTTAGCCTGTGTACCCCTGAAACCATTGACTTAACCGTAAACCCGGCATGGGGCCTATAGACCCGAGACCACTATCCCTAAACATCGTCAACCTTTACTCGACGTTTAACCGTACTAATGCCAAGCCCTAAACATCCTAACTTCTCGTTCCGCCACTACCAGGTCAGCCTTCCGGAAACGACCCCTGGGACCGAGACGTCGAGTTTGAGCCGACTCCGCGGGGTCCTCGTAGTTTTCATCGAAGACGGTTCTAAGGGTTCTGTTGTTCATGTGCTTGTAGTCAGGCTATCGGCCTTTAAGCTCAGCGCGTCCCGCCCGTTCGGGCTGGCACTTTCCTGCTGGTCCGGTGTTTTGGGGGTGGGGAGAGATTGGTTTGGTTTATTGTTTAATTTCCGTGGGCTCCGGGCTAAGAAATGTTGTGCTTCTTTTGGTGGTGCAAAGCTTGGCGGCTTCGCGTCACGCAGGTGCGTAAGCACTTCTCCGGGCCCGGGCAGTTGAAGAGGGGTCTCCAATTTTGGGCCACTCTTGGTCGGCTGCCAATACCGAGGAGCCGGCTGTTTTGGAGTACTGGGGTGTGCTCGAAGCACACAGTAATGCAGATTCACGTGGATTATCCCATCCACAAGATGTTTAAATGTCAGACTCCATGTTCACTCAATCAGCTGGACGAGTTGATGGTTCTCCGGGACGAGTTACAGAACCTCTCCACATCTCAGCTTCAAGGCCAAAGTAGGGCAATAGACGCAAGCGTTGGTAGGCCCATTTATGCATAACGGCACCTCTTTCGGGATTGTGTGTGGTCATTTATTGCGTTCTGCAGAAATAGAAACGGCACCGGTCCAGTCTGGATTGTCAGACGCGCCGGATTCTTATCGCAACAGCGCAGAGCGTTTGCAGTGGATCTTACACTTAAGGAAGACTTGTAGACTTGGAGGTCCGTACTTCGAATTCCCGAACTGGTGTCATGTAAGCCTCATATAAAGTTGCAGGGATGAGACGCTACTACGTCACATGAACTCCAAGTATAGACCTTCTTTATAACTCAGTTTTAGAAGCGCCGCCCGTTACGTCACCCCAGAAAACGTCCGCAGCATCTGAGGCTTCCGTATGACCCGCGCGACTTTCTGCGGGCCACTTCCTGAGGACATGGACACGTAGCTTTGGTCAAATGACATCTAACATGATATAGTCCTGACAGATCACCTGTCCAATATCCTTAGCATGCCAACACATACACAGCAAACATGCCAAAATGAGCCGTGCATGTTAGGTTTCTGGAGCTTTTGGGGGGACTCGCTTAGGAATCGGTTTGTTGTCGCTCTGGTACTTTGAAGGCGAACCCTTGGACCCTAATTCGGAAAAAAAACTCCCATACCCTAAAACCTTAAGCCCCCAGCCCTTTCCTACCCAGGGCATCATCGACCATGAGGGTGGCCGAAAGCGCGGCTTCTTTGATGCAGGCTCTTGGATCGAATACCTGGAGGCCCGGTGATGCATGATGTAGAGTGTGCATCATAGGGCGCCGCAAGCAAGCCTACACTCTAAGCAAAACAGTGTAGAGCCACCAAAGTCTCAGGCACGCCCTCAGCCTCTAGTTAGTGTGTAGCGTTTTGAATTGAGGCCTTTGGCCTTTTGACTTAGGTTGTCAATATCTTATGGAGCATAACCAGAATCCATGGGACTCCCAGTTATACCAGGATGGTAGCATTTTCACTCTGACATACATTCAGGACATACATTCAGGCAGTGCAGGGTTCAGGGTTCAGGGTCTGGGTGGTTGAGGGTCAGCAGTTTCAGTGAGGCTTTGGAGTCTAGGGATTCGGAGGTTCAGGATTTGGAGGGGTTTAGAAGTTGAGAGTTTTAGAGTTCATTCTGGTGTAAGGTTTTGTTTCTGGGGAGCTTGGGGTTATTTGAGCGTGTAGTCCTCCCCACAAGCACGCACAGGTTTTGGAGTTTCTTCCGTTTTGCAAAATCTACTTGCAGTCAAGACCTTCAGAGCACAAATGCATATCCGTCTCAAGACAATCGGTAGCAACTCCCTCCCTTGACAATCAAATTCCCCACGATTTCATATCTCGTGATGAATGTTCATGTATGTATAAATATATATATGACATAAAGAAGTAGAGCATTGAGAATATTTCTCATAATGGGGTCAGGGGGTGATGAGTGACGGGAGGTGATAATCGAAGGAAGTTTTGCAACCGGCCGCTGATCAGCACAAGTTGACTTGCGTGTCGTGGCCAGGTGTTGGAGACCCACTTCAAGTAATGTAGAAGCCTCACCCGCTATCGAATCTATGTAACCTTCCTTATATATATATATACATATGTAATATTCCCCGGGTTATAGCTGAGATATAACGGAGACAAGTACTGTTTCAAGTGCCATGAATTGTGGTCATGGGACTTGTCGCATATGGTGATGCGAAAAGCAAGGAGCTGCCATGTCATAGACGGCAGGGCTGGGGCAAGACCGTCATCGTGGGACGAGCTCGACTGGGAGGCCATGGGACGTTACACGTGTTTTGTTCCGAAAGAGGGCTTCCTAACCATGACACTGTTGTATACATACAGCATATACATATATATATATACACACACACATTTTTATATGTGTATATATATATATGCGTATGTATATGTGTATGTGCTTAACCGTGGGGGGAGGGGGGGCTCGAGATATGTAAAGATGATGGGAGGATCACAGTGGCCCCCAAAGGGCTAGTCCTAAGTTGTGAAAACCAGGTGCACATGAATGTCGGTACTAATAGGACCCAAGCGGCAACACAGGCAAAGAGAGCTCGTCCACAAGTGTGCCAGCTTTTTTAATAAGTGGTTTGTACGGCGTGCACAAGGAAGACTTCTGATGTTTGGGCCGCATTTTGCTGACGATAGGCTCAACAGACATTGCAACTCCTGAAAGCCCAAAGAAAATCTCTTGATGAGGCTTTAGATCGTAAGATGCAGAAAATATTAGTTAGATATTGCTTGTGTGGGTTTCGGAAAGCAGGGGTCCGTTTCTGTGGAAACAGCCACGTGTACGTGGGATAGAGGTCTTGAGTCCTAAGCCTGGATGCGAACAACCTTCCACTTGTTTCACCGCAACATTCCTGCATGATCCCACAACTATCTTTGAGAGCGTAGCAATCATCAAGGTTAATATCATTTGTTGCAGTGGAGGGTTGATGTTTTCCCTGCACAAGGTTGTTGTCCTTTCTTATATTACGGATTTTTGTGATCACAATTTTCGTGCGGTTTCCGGACAGCTGGAAGAAGAGGATCGACGGCAGGTTTTGGAGGTTTGAACTGGGGTTAGGGCGTGTAATCTGCATCAAGAATTACTATGCATGATCGTGGATTTTGGATTGGAGAAAGGGCTTGTGGCGCAGAAAATGTACTGGGCGGTTATTGGCTTCAGGGTAAGCACTTAGCCCCTCAGTTAAACAGTGCCGAACTCTGGGTTTGTGGTTTACTGTAGCCTCAGCCGTTGCAAATATGCATAAAAGATGGATCGCCACCGTATGCTCAAGATGAGATTGAAAATGCTTGAAGGCACGTTTGTCTTTATGCAGTCCGTCATATTGTACGCACCTAAGTAGCACAAACACATTCAGCCCTGACTGTTGGGATAAGTACTTTGGAGGTGCATTGGCAGCCTGCCAGAAGTTGACTTCAAAATTTTCTTAAGTCCTACGTAAGCCGTATACCCTGTGTCTGAGACTCACGGGTTTAAAGGGCTTCTGGTGAGCTATAGCAGCAAGGAACTTCAAAGTGCGCTGACAAGACATTGGGGTCTGGATCTGCAGACTAGTGGCTAGTACCTTAGGCCATAGGTATGCAGCAAGAAAACGGGGATGGCTGCTTGCTTCAGTGGCCAGCTTTCAGCAGATAGCCTTTTGAAATTCTAATTAACCTTGGGCACCCATCCACAGAAGCCTCGCAGAGAAATTCTGCCTCAGGTGTTTAAGGCTTTAGGTTCACCGCCTGCTTATACTGAGCCTCAAACCGGAACCGTCGGGGAATACATGATAAACCCTTAAAGCTTGCCAAATTGCAGCCCAGAGACCAGAACCCTTGGCACTAGCAGCTACAAGCTCTGGACACCAAAGCGTCAAGCCCACGTCCTAAAGCACTGTAGGCATGCCCATGGGCGTCATTGCGGCCAGGGACTCAGTTCATGGCTGCACCCGCACATAGTCAGCCATATGCGTGTGTCACGAATTACCGTGATTTTGTGTTGGGACAAGGAATATATAGTGTGAACCCCTTTCTAAGAAATAGTGTTCAAGGAGTTTGGGTCTTTGCGCATTCTTGCTGTTGCCAAGAGAGTACTTCAGTTGCACATTAAGTGCCCGGAGAGATTCTCCTTTATACTGCCCATGTGCTTCTAGACTCCAGTCAAGCAACAAGGGGAAACTACACTTTCTCCCAGTAGCAGGTACCATCTCTTAGTCGTCCCGTTTTTGCCCAACTACTCCTTCCGATTGCATTATCGATTGGCAGCATTTTCGGGTGTATGGCTTCTCGCGGCCCTGTGGCATATGGAACATGCTTTCCAACCTCTGCGATGACCTTGGGCGCGTATACGCGAACCCTCGGCCTCTGAACACTGCATCCACCATGAGGCCTTGTAGAACTATACATCCATGACCACACCCCAAAAAAGGCCAACATCCCGCAAAACATTCAGACAGTCGTAAACGTCCAACCCACAGCCTCCACATGACAAACGCCATTGGAATGAACGCGGACTAACTGCCAGAAGAAGACGTATACATGTATCAATGTGAGCCAAAAAAGAATAGAGTATGAGCCTCCGGAGGTTGAGACACGCAGTGTAGATCGATTGGTGCCCGCGGATCCCTCGAATACAGAAAGCTGCGAGGCACCGGGCTGTGTTGAAGGCTTGGGGTTGGATTCATGCTATATGGGGCCTGGTGGGGTCATGAGGAGAATCTGTTGCAAGAGGGGATTGAAGCCTGAATGAGAACATAATCTTAAGTTCTTCTGGTTGCACCCACAACCAAGCAGTTTGTGTTTGATTTCTAGTCATCGTCCAGACCTCAGAAATCACATCCCACGGCTTCTTAGTGCACATGAAGGAGGAGATCACGTTGCTCCATGGCTTGCATTGTTCGGGAAGACCTGATAAAGCAAGATAGGGCTGAAACACGATTCCGGCCATGAGCTTGTTCACAGAGCTGAGATATTTGGCATTGTGAGAAGCTCTGGCACTTCCGCCTGCAGTGAAGAGTCTCCTAGTTATAAGCCTGGTTACAAGTGGCCTGCGCCATTTGTTGGCGAGAAATATATGGTGACACGTGCTATAAACCGTGGATATGCGATTGAACTAATTATCAGCGTGATCTGTTAACTATGCGGGGGCCACCCTAATGTACATGGACTCATTGGGAGATGGAGACATGCGGCCAATGCCTCAAATCTTTTGAAATCCTCAGACTGTTGCCCCTTGAGCTGTACGTGGACCCCACAACGCTGACTGTTGATGAACCTATTGCCGCCTCTAGCCACTAAACCCAAAAGTCTTCACCAGCCAGTCCAAGCCACACCGTCCAAGCACCAACACCACAACCTACAGCTCCTTGGCCAGCCAGCCGTCCCTTAAAACTGTCAACCCGCCAACCTTCGACCGGAGTCGGAAACCCAAAGACTGAAGAAAAGACTTTAGCAACCCTAAAGCCTCAGACTTATATCCAAACATTGCCAAATATCTTATCACTTGATCTTGCCCCCTGAAGGTAAAGGAGACCAATGGCGGCAAGGCAAGGGGTCGACTTTCGATCGCAGGAACACTCTGGGGCCTTTTAGGCTTAGCTTGTGCCGTGTTTGGTAGATGACTTATGGGCTGTGTCATGAAAGCTTGTATGGCGTAGGTATGAATGGCTCAGTACGACCTCACATGGGTCTGCCACATGCCTCATGGCTTCTGGGAGCCAGTGTCAGAATTTTCCTAGCAAAGCTCCTTTTGTATAGAACCGTATGCCCTGCGATGGTCAGGACTTAGGGTTTAGAGCAGGATTCTTCCTTCACATAGCCCGTGGAATAGTTGTAAACTGATTCAGGATACGTGTTGCCCTCGCCGAAATCCGCACATGGATGCACTACCTGTTACCTGGGTATTGTTGTAGACCCCCATGCGCCTTTTTAGGGGATCCACATCTAGATCGGTCCCACAAACAGCAAACCTTGAAATCCCCTGTGGGTAGGCAGAGTAAGCAAAGCAGCAGTGCTTGCTAGAAGCCATTAGCCACGGAAGGTTCTAGCCAGGTTCCCATTCCAGTGCTGTCCTAAACAAGAAGCTTGAAGAAGTAGGAAACAGATCCTCGTCATGCAAACTTTACATAAATCTAGCCTGAAAACCTGCAAAGCCTGATGGCTGACAGCTCGGGAATGACTCTTTTTGCCCAGCCCTCTTGAGCCCGAAGCAGAGTCGCATTCGCCAGGTCTGGTTCCCTGACAGCGCCTTCAAGACTGCGCAGGCGCTTAAGGACGGCAAGCCGGGCCTGGGTGCAGATTTCAGGCTGATCTTGTTCATGCGCAGATTTTAATTCTGAGGGCTTCTATTCTGAAGTAAAAGGGCGCGCAGTAACTGTATCACGAGATACCCTGAAATCAGACCCTTGTTCTGCTTGTAGTGCCATCCTCTTCACGATAGTCCTCCTTGTCGTCTGTTTCAATCACGTGAAAGTCCACATTTAAGTATCCGGATTGCTCGATGGCCGAAAACCTGCAGACTTCAAGCTGAATGGGCAAAATCAAAAAAGTCGGTTTGAGAGTCTATCACGATCATAGGCCCTTTTTTTGCGACTCAGACAAGGATTGCAATGGGGAAGCGCCGGTGTGTTTCTTTGGGATCCTGAGATCCTGCTAGATTTGTCTACAACTGCAGTTCTCAGAAATGTGCTGTGTTGTCCCAGAGTGATTAGAATTAGCATTTGTAGCTAAAAGTCGAGTCAGAGGGTTGACATACATGCCTTGCACATGTCAGAAGGAACGCACGATCTGCTTTGTTGATTGGCAGCACCCCGAGAAAGACGCCGGGTTCGACTGGGATTCAGTACTGCCACGGAAGGGATACCGATGTGGAGGGTCTATGGGCCAAGGCTAGAGCTTGCGGAGCCATTATTGGGTTAGTACTGCTCGCACAACTTGTTCAGCCTGGCTCCAGAAATAAGAGAGGAGCCCATGTCATCTTCTCATTGAACAATAATCCTCACATGTGACATCTTCATTCACTGGATTTTTCAGATATCTAAGTTAGGATTGTATGGCCGCGTCTGAAGGACTTCAACCGAGGAGAGAATCTGCCGGCGCACTTCTCAGAGGGGCATTCCGTCGATGTGGCGGTGTTGACGTTTGGTGGTGCCTTGAAACAAGGAGAATACTATGTTTGCAAACTTGTTTGGAAAATCCTGGAGGGTGCCTTTGAGGCCCCCAAACTGCGACTCTTATATTAAGAAACATCAGCGCCTACATGCTTCCAGGTTTACTGGCGGTCTGTTGGAACCTGCAACCCAGAAACACCCCTCGACCTGCCCATCTGTCAATGCGCAGACAGCAATGAGGACAGTACCAGTAATTGAAGAAACGCTCGTGCCAGATACTGTTGGGAGACATTGTAGTGATTCTAATGCTGCTTTAGACTGGGTGTACCCAACTTTCCGGCTGGGAGCCCATAAGCAGCAAGTTGGACGCAACCAAGCGTACGTACACTAGGAGGCCCTACTGGTCCAAGTGCCTTACGAGTGAAAATTTGGCCCGTGTGAGTCTCAAAGTATCCGTATCAGGTCCATCTGGGCCCAAAGCATGTACTGCATAGATACCCGGGTCCTCACGATGGTCGTTGAGAAAGTGGTACATCATACAGTAATGGTTCGAACTTTGAGAGATGCCGCCGAGGTGATCATCTTCGCCAACTGGCGAGGTTTCTCCGGTGGTACCCGTGGCCTGGCTGCAAGAGCAACCTTGGAGCTCAAAGCTTTCAAACCCCGTGCTGAGAGTCTAAAGTTTGGGAGACATGGTATTTACCTGGAGCCCCAAGGTCAGGGTCCGACTAGCCCAGTCCGACTGCAATTCGAAATACAAGATCAGGGCCAATGCGCCCGTAGGCAAAGCTTTCAATTTCCAGAGATTTGGTCACAGTTTTTCAGGTCGGAGTGCATTGTGATGCCTGTACTGATTGCATTTTGAGAGTCAGGGCAGAATGTGGGGATGTGATTATGCTCCTCCTTCTCTGGTACGTGCTATCGTACACATGCAAAGGGTGTCGAGAGCATCCGACTGAAGGTTGTCAAGTCCACGTTCCAGATTGAATTGCAGTTGGAAGTTAGCGCGTTCAGACGTTCGCCCCTCCATTCGTGAATTCCTGTGCTGTTGGAATGTACTCTGTAAGCCAAAGCTAAAAGTACCCGCATAGCGCTTGCTCTGGCCCCAAAACAGGCTCTACATATCCATCTCGGCGCCTGAGCACATACCAGGGGCCATCTCAAGTTTTGTGCTTACAACTTGTATCCTCTAATAGCGTTTAACTCCAATCATTCTTTCTACCGAGCTCTATGGGTTCTCTTTGGGAATGAGGTGTGTCCGGACATGATGAAGTAGCAGACTTTCAAAATTACCCCGCACAAATACGTAAGAGGAACCTCATAATTAATCCCTTTCAGCCTGTTTGCATCCATTGGATCATATAGTATCCTACTTTGCAAACCCCGGAGCCTTTAACCCTCAACCCTGTCCCTACAACCTCTCAGGGTACCTGAGACCCCTGAATGCTTGACGATGTGAATCCACATGTCCCCTTTGAAGGACCTGGGATACGCGGTTTCGAGAAAGCACTCAACCCTGCATTCATATATGCCCTTTCAAGGACCCGAGCGAACCCTGGCTTGAGAATCCCTCAACCCGCAAAGTACCCTTGTTTTGAGAACCCCTCAGCCCTGAACGCTATGCGCCCACATAACCCACTTGAGAACCAGCCGTGTATTCATGGATGAACTCCGGAAGCTCCTAAGCCAACACTCCGCTTCAAAGCAGGATGAGGGTCCAAGCGCACCCTTGTTTTGAAAAAACACCTAAACCTCACACCCCCATAGGATACCAAAGCCCCAAGTTACTGGACCCTAAAGGCTATGGATCCCCGGAATCCCACTACGAGGACTCAACGGTACCTCCACTTTCAAAACCCCTGAAGTCAAGGCGACATGTACAACGAGATTTTGAAGTTTGGAGCGCCCTGGCCTGGCTAGGGGATCATTACTTGGTCACTCTTGCATATACTCTCTAATTCTTGTATGCGAAGCACACGCATAGGTATACACAACTCTAAAAAATTTGCTAACATCGCACTAAAGAAACAAGAGTATGGGTACCGGGATGACTTACTACACCTCTGCTTCTCACCACTCTCCGAACGAGCCCAAAGCATGTTTCATTTGGGGCTTAGTTTGGGTTTAGAAGTTAGGGGGGAAGGCGGCTTGTGGTTTGTGGCTTTGTTCCAAAGGTCTCAGGGTTTTGTCTGTTTATGTTAGGCTTTCGGGTCCAGGTTTTAGAGTCTGGGTCTGCTTGGCCTGTTTCTTCTTACAGTGAAATAGGAGATACATGCTGTAGAGATTTTTTGAGGGGTCTGCCCCTGCATGATAAAGGGCAAGGCAACTTGAGAGTAGGCATCAGCTCTCGGGCATCTTCATGCACAGGACCTTCTCCATAGGAAGCAGCACGCAAGGGGATAAAACAACATGGATCTCACACAACAAGTATTTTGGCCTGCAGTGGCACCCGCTGCTGTCATGGCACATGCCCTCGCTTGTTTGAGTGGTGTGACTCGTATTGCACAATGTCTGTTGGCCTGCCTTGGGGCTAGTTTGCTGAGCACTTGTACATGTTCATCGCTGAGCTCTGTGACACCAAGCTTCGACAGAGGATCAGCGTGAAAGTTCTTCATAGTCTCTTATTTGTGGCTTTAATGAGGGCAATTTGGCCTAGGCTATCCCTGTCTCTTTCGCGCAAAGGGCATGTTTTTTTCAAGATGAACGCGTTGAAGAAGGCATCCGTGGCGATAAGAAAGCATCCGTTTGGCGGATGGCAGAAGGATCCGTTCGTTTCTTTGCATGCTCTGTGAAGACCTTACCTGGCGATATTTAACATTAAAACGATAGAAGGAACCCTTACAGTTGGCCTACGGTCCCGGCATATCCAAGTAGCGAGTGTGCCTGGTTTTTGAGCCCATGCTGAATGCTTCAAAGCCAGCGCGCTGGAGGCCATGATTGTGGATGCGCTGGTCGAGTGCCCCTGCATCAACTGGATGGCCAAATTATGCCAAATTAAGGAACTAAGCCGTGTAAGTTGCCGCAGAATGAGGAAACACAATTGTGTATGTGCATCCAGATTTGGTGACTTATGTGAGGAACAGCAACCCAGTCATGTGCTGAGCATGCTGCTTGAGATGAGGATATGAGGATTGGCTTAGGCCGCGGGGTTGCGGGTGAAGGAAATACTCCTCCAGTGTGGGTCGCTACTTATAGCTACATGGACATCCAAGTACTACGCGCGACTACACATCAACACACCCCAAGATAACTCCACGAGGCGCTACAGAACATGAAGGGCGTGGCACGGGAATTTATCTTGGCCTTATAGGCTCAAAGGCGACGTAAATCCTCGAGGCTTCGATTCTTTTGGTGTAACAGGGGTTTGTATGCTCCCTTGTTGTGTCTGCAGAACCTTGCTGAGTTGCATTCCTGTGCCTACTGCGCTTAGAGGCCGTCATCGCGCCCAGAACTTGTAAAGAACATGGCGGCTACCCTGAAAGGTGAGTGTCCAACCTCCACAAAGGAAAAGTTGCTCAGTGTAATCTTCAAGAAATCCGTCGTGGGACCCTGGAATCTCAAGGTAATCCCAACATCTCACTGTCAGGACACCCGGACATGGACCCACAATTTCAAGGTTGTGTTTTTGGGCCCTCTTGGGCCCTTTGGGCGAGAGTGCCCGAAAAATTGCTAAGCTTATGCCTTTATTTTCCTTCTACAATTCTTTTATAACCTTTAGGAAGGCGTTGAGGGAGTTTGACGAAGCTGTAAGTGGCATGGCATAGCAGGGAGTTTCTCAAAATAGGAACTTCCTAGGTACTAGGAAGTGTAGGGACATTTGGGAGTGCATGATTGCAAGGACAAGGAGATCGTAGAGGTCCCCTGAGGGGTTGTTTGAGAAATTCCCTCTGCTACCGCCAGCGCCTTATTTTGGCTTCTGCCATAGCTTTGAATTTGCGCATGGCAGACTTATTGCCACGTGTGCGCTGAAGCCTTCCTCCCTACACCCATACCAAGCACTACCAGACCTTACACCCGGCGGTGCCTGAAGCCTTCGCTGAACCCTATACGTTCAGTTTGAGCTGAGTAGGCTGGTGCCAGGTACGAGCAGCCCATCTTCATCTACATCCCCAAGCATGGTGAGCTCCGTGGAGGAGCTTGGGTGGCCTTTCCGGCATCTGCTTAGCCCCCCCCCCCCACCTCGCAAAAGATTGAGTGGAGGTATCGAGTGCATGTATCAGGCGAGAAGCGGCATCTTCATAATCTTTATTAGTAACAATACAGCAGTAAATGATCCAAGGACAGGCACTGCAAAAGCCTGTTCATCGAACCCTCTCCGGCCTGAACTGCTTGTGAAGTTCTTCAACCTCGCTGACCGAATCAAGACATAGGATATCGGGGAGACGAAGCCGTCAAGCCGAACATCAATGTGCGAAATCCTCAGTCCCGATGCGAGTTAAGGGCCTACGGAGTTGAGCGCCCTGAGCCCCAAACCCCAAACCCCAAACCAGACACAGCCAGGTAATCGACCCGGCGATCAATCCGGACAAGATGGAAATGTGCCATGGTTCTATGTTCTTTTGGACAGCTTCATGGTTGGCATGTATAGGGACCCGCAACCGACCCCTGGATAGCGTGCAATTCTTCATCACATTTCATCACAAAGATCCCTACATGCTCTCACAATCCTACAGCAATCCCCCAGAAGCCCCAGCACGTCAAAGTCTAAGCCCATCCTTCTTGAGAGTTTCCTTGTGTGTGCGTCTCGATATCCCACACCCCAAAACGGGTGGGTTTCGGTGAGCCCGTAGTCTGAAGCCTAGGGCGCCGCCGAACAGGTCCGAAATCTGGACCTTGAAACCAGAACGGTAAAAACGACTAATAATTGAAAGTTGCACAAGATATGGCCCTAACCAGGATACTGAATCCACACAATCCTATTTTACAATAGTAAGCTAAACACATTAACGGTAAGGTCAGGGATGAAGTTCTGTGGTAAAGGCTCTGCACATGAAGTAGGAATCAGGCCAAGTCCCACTCGCTCCTGCGTACTCGAGCCCCTTGCGCACCAGGCTGCGACTCCAACCCTGCCAGCCTAGAGCCCGAAACTCCAAACCCTCAGTTGCAGCGAGCAACCCTATAGACGATAGCAGCTGAACACTTAGGCCCTAAACGCCAAAGCTGTTTCAGTACGGCGTGCTAGAAACAATCTCAGTTCCACCCCTGCAGCTGATACATCCCTATATAAGCCCCACTTGTACTCGTCAGACCCACGAAAGCTCTCCAACCTAGGCCCCAAGCCGTAAACCTTGCAATCCAACGCCCCAGACCCTACAGATCATCAACCCTAAACCCGAACCGTTCGCGATGTGCAAACCCCAAAGCGCACCAGACTCCACCAGACTCCACGAGGTATGCGGATGTGGATGCTCGCGGAGGCATCCTGGAGCCTCCAGGCATCGTGGAGGCGACCGGGTTCAGGGCTAATAGGGTTTGGAGTATTCTTTCGTTGGGTTTAGGGAGGTTCCTTGAGGGGATACTCCGTGTGCAAAGCACATGTGGGTTGCTCAACGTTGTTGACTGCTGTGTTTTTTACATGTCCAGGGCATTTTTTTGCGGGAACTCACCAATCAAATTCAACTTGAGGGTTTGCCATGGCTGTTCTAAGCTGTGCTGAGAGTTTTCGGGATTGCGGGCTTTCAGATTGAGGATCTTTCAATTCCAAAGAACCGGGCGGCACCTGCGCTTACGCTTGTTGACGTTTAGGGTTTTCCATACTGCCCCAAGGGTCCAAGCATCCAAGATACACGTACTCCCCTACTCAATTGTTGGGTACTTGGACTCTTCGGGTTGGGAAGGCAGGCTTCGGCTACCCTTTCATTCTATGCCAATGGTGCCTTGAAGTCCCCTGTACGAGGTCCTATCTTGCTCTGCGAACGGGAAAGGATACAGCAGCTGTGAGAAGCTACCAAAGGTGTTACCACTGCTCCCTAAGTGCAGGAGCTCTCCAAAAAATGATGAAACTGGCGAAGCTGCCTAGACTCGTTCTGGGGTCACCTGAAACGCATATTATGGGCTTCATTTTCCAAGCTCTTACGTGAGTTCATCTACAACGAGGTCCCTCTGTTCTTGCTACCCGGGCTACCTTCCCTAGGAAGCAGGATTGAGTGGGCGTTTACAGCGACCTCCCGCGGACCTCAACCCAAACAGGGGTTGATATGGAAAGTTGTCCCCAGCTCGTCTTACTTTTCAGGCTTCTGGAACTAGTACCATTGGGCCAGAATCGTTCCTCGCAAGGTTTCCATGCTGATGCTCGGCCTACACTTGCAAAGAAGATTGAATAAGTTTTAGATGGTTTCGGCGTTGGAAGCATCGAGGTCAAATACCGAGCGCCCCAGCAGGCGGGGAGGGAAACTGGATTTCGCCTTCCATCTATGCCGTAGGATATGATTCCAGGGACCGCAACTTCTTGTCATGATGTCTGACTCCGACTTTGAAGCAGGGGTCTAGCCAGGGTTGCGCGTCTCAGGATGGTAGCGTGATGGGTTGGATTGAGGGTGCTTGCAGCGATTTTCCAGGAGCCAGCTGAAGGGAATTCAACGTCAAGAGTTTTTTTTTTAAGTAGGAGAAGCGGGTTTCTAAAGATTGGGCTCCTACAATATTGTCTTAGTTGGAAGGGGCACTTCAGTTATGTCCCGTATTCTTGGCAACTGAAGCACTGGGCCGGCCAGGTCGCTTGCCGCTGTCGGTTGTCCCGAAAGAAGTACCAATTACCAGATTACCAACATCCAGCGTCTGTTTTCCATGTCATTCTCGATCATGGCGATTCAGCTCAGTGAGTCCAGTTCCTTGAATCCCTGTTCAACCCCAGTTTCCTTTTCATGTTCCATTTTCTTGCCAGGTCTTGCCAGTCGAGGCCTACACTGGAAGTGGGTTCGCTCCACAATCCCAAGGCAATTTATATGCAATCTTGCAATGCTACACCTTAGACCTACACATGGCCCCCAAACCTCGAGTCCTAACCTGAAGCCCCTATTAAACCCCCATACCCTTGAACCCTGAAATCAAAGCTTCAACTCCTACTGAGCCCTGCTCTCGGGGCACTTACGACCCCCGCATCCCTATGCAAAAATAGCAGAGGGGGCTAAGGGTAGCCTGCTTTGAGGAATTTTGTATGAGGTAGTCTTAAGGAGCCTAGGTAGGGTATACGGGGATCGCAGTGAGGTTGCCGGGGTCACCTTCAGGATAAGCTAGGGCTTTCCCCTGTAGACCCCCAAGTACCGGGAGAGTGGTTATATACTGTTGTGAGAACTGCCAAGAAAACAAACGGGATTCCGAGGTGGAGGCCATGCATCGCATTGATGCCAAGCTGAAAGACCTGGACTCCAAGCTTGTGGGTAAGGAGGCCGTTCAGGGCTTCCTTTTGTGATGCCGGGCTTGGGGGCTTTGTCCTTTATTTTCGGGCTTTGGACTTTTTATGTTTGGCTTGTGTTGTTTGATGTTGGTTTTGCTGGTCTTGGAGTTAGCGGGATCTCAGATTTTGTGTTCGGCTAGGAGCTGCTATAGTAAAGTGCAGCAGTCGGAAACTGCTTGCACTGGTGCTGGCATTCAACTAACCGTAGTGTGGCTTGTTGGGGTCCAGAATGTTGTTTGACTACGGTACCATGGTTACGTGTGAAATTTCCTTCGCCGATGCTGCTAAACCTCGAATCAATCGCTCCTGTCATCAGGGAGCCGCAAAAGCAGAAGTGGAGAAGGAGATCAAGGCTGGGCTGCAACATAATCCCATCCCAATTCTGACATTCAACCTGAAAAGGGCCCGACTACGACTTCAGTACAGTCCTCGTAGTAAGGCAAGGGTCTATCCGCTATCCTTCACTGGGGGGGGGGTGTTAGATTAGGGACTGAGATTTGGCAGTGAATCTATAGGGATAGGGCTCAACCCGAGGGCTCACAATCTATCAGTCCGCAGGGCTATATGGGGACTCTGTGTGGGGGAGTCCTCCGGGATAGCAACTGTCCAGCAACTTGTCAAAAGGTCAGGTCCGCTTGTTGGTCCCGACCATGAGGATGCCAGTAACTAGTATCTCTGGGATGTTCGAGGGACCTGGTGACGAATTGTTTCTTATCATTATCTCTCAGGGCTGACACTCGACTACCTCACACTGCTAGTAAAACGCACCCCTGAAAGTTCAGACCCACAATCCTTGAACACTTGCGAAGCCACCGTCTTCTGTTCAGGGTTTTCCTGGCCAGTCGGTCTTGTCACGTGTGTCCTTTGCTTCCTTATGTACGGGCATTGGGGTGAAAATCAGGTTGATAGAGCCTGGGACAAGATGATGGCATCTTTTTGAAGGTCTACGGGTTGGCTTCAAAACGCAGGAAGGTTGTTGCTTATGTTTATTGAGGGCACCATGGCATGTATGTGGCTATCTGGCAAAGGCAGCAATGAGCAGCACATGTATCTGATGCTGGACTTTCCTTTGGCTCTAGAAAATTCACATGTATGGTATTCGGCTCTAGAAGTCGTAGTAGAAAAACGACAGATCTAGTTTCTAAAAGGTTGTTGTACAAGAGACCGATGGCAGCCTGGAAGAAAGCGCCTGCTCAAAAGAATGTAGAAAGGTGGCACAACACTACCAACATGATATCATCGTGATAGCCAGTATACCTGCTACTTTTGTGTTTATAGGCTGTCCTTACAAGCCATCGGGAGATCTGGCAATCTGGTTTACACGTTGATCGGCCACTGGTCCGAAATTGGTCTGGAAAAGCAGCAAACGTTGCATGCCAGCAGCTTGGGTCTTCTGACCTGTATAGCATGACGACTGGTAAGGAAGCATCCAACCTTAGCCAGAGTTTATCTGCTGACTTAAAGTCATTTACGCACCGTCAAAAGCAGGAAAATAGTACCAAATCGGGACGTTGGTGTAAGCGCTTGTTGGAAACTGGACCTTGATTCCCCACCCGAAGATCTACACATGCAATTGATGCAACTGACAACCACGCGATGGTTGTGCTGGAAACCCCTGTTTTTCCCATATTATAGTATAGCGAGTTCGCAGCACAGGGTTGGAGGGTTGTTTTCTTGCCGAACGAAAAACGCGCGAAAGCGCGGCGACAAGTCAGCGAAAGGTTCTGATATATGGTGGTTTGGTTGTGAAATGAGATCAACATTATCTAACCTCAGGGATTTAGTGCACGGGGCGCGAAAGACCGCGAAAGCTCAGCGAGAGGTGCGTCGATTATATCATGAGTTTTCGCGCATAGGAATTCAGCGCGGCCCCCATACATCCCTGAACAGTTTGGAGCTCGCTCTCTCTCTCTCTCTCTGAGCCAAAAAGTGTTGATCTTGGACTCCACAACCTTGTTATTATATTCCTTGGCTTGAATTGGCAGACCTTGTGCGAACATTGCGAACCCTTCAGGACGAAGGAAGACCTGATCATGTTGTTTCAGTATGAAGCATGCAAGGATTGCAACGGCTTAGCGGTCCTACTCATGCGTCTGCACTGGCACCTGACATAATCCTCACTGTCTCACTAGACTGTACACCTTTCACCAAACCACCTCGGACGTGCTACCTCTGCTTGGCAATTCCTATTTGAACAGCGTCGGAGCCAAATCAAGTACTTTCAGTCCAGACAAGCCCAATAAATTCCAAAGGACCTGCACGCCCCCATCCACAAGCGATAGTATATAAGTCAAAAGATCAGTACTAACATTATGGATGTCTTAACCCTCAAAACCCTAAAACCCCTTAAATAAGATTCAGGATAGAAAAAGGAAGCGAGAACATTAGGGAGTTGATGCTGAGCATGGGGTGCCAGTATTCGAAAAATGAGGCGCTCTGGGACAATGGGCTAAGGGCTCCTATACAAAGCGAAGTGCAGCACCCGAGCGCAGGCCAGAGAAAAGCAGCTGCAAAGGGCTCAGCTGCTGAGGGTGCTTCACTAACTGGCCTCCAGCATGCGTGAAGCCATGTAGACGGTTGCTAGTGAAATTTGAGTTGCAGATTGACTGAAGTCTAGTTGGTTTGAAAAGTCATCGCGGATGAGCTTCCTAAGACAGACTTGATCTTGACAAGTCCTCATCGGGATCATGAAATCATAAGATCTTGCGAACCCCATTCCCTGAAATTAAGTCGTAAGATAAGTCACAGGTCCACATGTTTTGCTTGGAGGGAGAGACAGCGCGAGGTTTGGAGTATCAAATTACCTTGTTCATGATGATATCTGCTGATCAGCACAGGGTTCCCTTTTTAAATTTATGATGGCTAAAGGTACAACCCGTGCAACTTTTCAACGCCTGTCACCGTCATTTGCCCTGAAATTTGCTCAACCTATCAAGCACTGCGCTACATTACATGCTTTTCACTTTCTTCTTGTAGTCTTGGCTTTTGTTTACCACTACCCTGAGTACTGTATGTAGTTGTTATCATTGACCCTCACCGCAAAAGCCATGACCTGAAGCCCTAGGGCTGCTTATTGCTGCTTACCTGCCACCCACACTCTAGATCTTAATTGAGATGCACCTTGCGGCTTTTGTGCTGAGAGCCAAGGTATTCCCACAAATCCTGCACTAAGAGCAATTTGGATTTCCAAGAGGTGGCTGCTGAGAAGCAAAGGTATTCATGAAAATTGTGCGTTATGAAGCAGACTGCTTGCTAGTCCACACGTAGAGTTATAGCATGTACTACTTCCAGTTCGAGCATGTATGAACACAAGCCTCTTTCTTTTGCCCCGTAGGCTTCTTGCCCAACGAGACATTAAGCGGGTGCGCTCAATCCCCACACGTTTGGTTAAATAGAGCCCTACCGTCATGCCATGGACGTTAGAACGTACAACTTACATCAAGCCCACCCGTACTCAAGTCAAACCTAACGCATCAAACGTCTAACACCCAAACGTAACACATCGAACAAAACGTGGCGGCAACGCCATGAGCTTTACTGGCACAATTCCGTCGCCCACTGCTCTCGGGCGCCCGGCGCACCTCGAAGAGGCTGCGTTAAAGGGAAGAGCGTGCAAGCTAGAGCAGCCAGGTTTTGGCTAGCCCAATCATATCTGTAGCCCACATGATGTAAAGGTAAGCCTTTCGTTTCTTGATAACGTTCCTTTCAAGTGAGCCACCACAACGAATTTGTCAAAAAGGAGTAAGTACTCACGCTCCTGCGGAAGCCAGTTTTGACAAGGGATGTTGAGGGTTTTATGAAGGATGTGCTTTTGTTTAAAGTACATTCCCTCAGCTTCAGAGTCAGCACTTTCCGACCGTGTGTTGTGCTGTCTGGCAGCTGGTCGGGGGGGGGCCACCGCTAAATTTACAAATGTCTACAGCAGAAGCTTGAAAGCTGGAATTGTATCGCCTTGCCCCAAGGCCTGGGACGATTAAGAAAGGACTCAAACCATACATTTTCTAAGCTTCAACTCTTTGGCCTGCACTATAGTCCTGGCAAGATCGGCCCACCCGAACCCTGATTGTTCTTTTTCGGTTCCTGGCCTGTGGATTAGGACATGCCAGAGAATAAGCTAGGCTTTGCATTTAAAACAGTTTCCAGTCGGGGTCTGCATTGCCAATGCTCATGTATTGTATATGGGTTGGATTCTCGTAATGAGGTACAGCCCGCCCGGGACATGATTTGCAGGAACCACACCGGAAAGTCCGCTCTGTCCGCCATCCCCACCACGACCCTCCACCACCGCCGATGCCGCCGCCACGGCATGCTTTGGCAATCCTTGTCAAGGACCTCCACAAACTCGACTTTCCATGATTGCAAATCTGTCTCGAACTGTACTCCAGTCTGCCCTCACGAGTCCCTTAACCCTGCAAGGCGGCAGCGGGCTTGCGGGTACGGCGGCGGCGGAGTTCCGGCGCTAGCTACCTGGGCGGTGCTTAAGGGTGGTAGAGCTTGTGGAGGGTCTTTGGTTCTGATTTTTTTGGCTTAGGCTGAGCTTCCCGGTTCAACTCTGTGGTTTGCCCATTTATTGCTTGAAAGGCAGCCCGTTTATTCCTAGATCACCTTGGATGCTACCAGGGTTACCAGGGCTTAGCCCAGTTCGGATGCTCAGCCCTCCCCAAGCAGGGAGGATGAGTTTGGGCGAGTCATACCGGGTTGGGGTGACAAGGACAAGGATTGGGGATCAGACTCCGAGTAATTGCAGCTTGAGAGGCAATTAAAGCCTGATTCTAGAGGCACGTGTGATCCCACAAGCTCCATCAGGCCATCAGCACTAGTCTCAACCCCTTTTCAATTCGCGCTTGGGTGGTTCGCAGGTGTAACTAAATGTGGCCACATCTTCCCCTTGTGGTTTAGGCCAAGTGAGGCCGTTTTGCCACAAAAACAAATCCTGCACTGGGGCGGTATTCTGCAGGAGAATTGCAAGATGGGAGGCTTCTAAAAAGTACACTGAGCCAAAACAACAACCCACCATCTACTTGGGGAGGACAATGGGATAGGGAGGGTCCATTGAGTCAATGGATTCTTGCGGGGTCTTATCGTCTTGAAGTTACAAAGTCTGGACTGCATGTCCCGACATCGTCTTCTTTTTTTTTCTTGGGATTTGTTGGGAGACAAAGTTCAATTAATTAGTACCTATAATCTACCTTGACAGTATACCTGTTGTGCAACATGTTCTCGGGTACCTGGAACCGGTTTGAAGGACTCTGAGGCCAAGATTCAGATCAGGGCCCATTCTTGGAACCTTCGAGCTCCTGAGGATGGAGGTGTGAGTTTACAATTTGCCGGAGTATTGTGCTTTGTGTGTAGTGCTTCTCCGTTCGCATACGAAAATATGGACCCAAAGGCCTCCAAGAAGGACAAAAGTTTGAGAGGACCTCGTATTCAGGTCTCAAGCACTAAGGATCGCTTTGCAAGACCTGAAGCACAGCCTTGTCCTGCAACGGCTCAGGTGCAACCTGCATAATCTGTGACTGAAGCTGTAAAAGGATGCCCAAACAACCCCAAGACGTCTCACTCAAACAAGCAGTGTGCGAACTTAGGCCTAGGCTCAGAGCTAAAAGGTTGCATGAACCTATTCAATCATGAACGCTGAGGGCAAGCAGCAAATCGGATAGCTGCAGGGATTCCACAGCCCAGATCGAGAAAACAGAAGGTCCCACAATAATGTTGAGAAACTCTCACGCGGGTACTATTGTCTCAAGTTCATGTGGCTCACAAGTCACCACTGACTACATAGGACCTGTTTCATTCGGCTTATGCCAGGCAATGCAGGCAGTGAAAGCAGCGGCTGTGATGACGCTTAGCCTGCATAAGGATAAGGGGTCAGATAAAGGTTCAAGGATCAGAGTTTGGGCATGCTCTCGAATTTTTTGGAGGTGTTCGCTCCCGGGAAGATGAAACCTGGACGCTCTAAACTGTGAATTCTCATGTCCCGGCAGCAAGTGCAAAATTAGTGATACTGGCAACAATGCAAACCCTTGCAGTGGACCAAACTTGAAAGTTCAGAGGTTGTTGAACGTTTGGTTGAGGGCGCTGTGGAAGTCAGAAAGCATGGAGGAAAGTCAGGAACCATGAGTCGGAAATCCAGAACAAAAGTCAGGAAACAAGGGAGGAAGGAGTCAGGAAACAGCGTGGGGAGGAGTCAGCACCATTGAAATCTATGACAGCAGCTCCACTCCGCTCTCGGCCACGAGAGTCTAGCTTCTGATGTAGAGCCATCATGTAAATTTACATGATGGTCACGGACAAAGCCTAGTACGAATGCATGTTCTCAGAAAGGGTCCCAGGAGGAACTTTCAAGCTACAGACCCCTAGAAAAGCGGAGGGGGTTGGTGGGGCCAGCCACCTCATTTGCACACAAAAAGATCCGCACAACCTTCCCCTACTGCAAACATGATGATGAAACAATGCTACTTTTCTATTGCAAGTATGCATGGCTTTAAACAAGCGAGGGGCGGGGGGAGTTCAATTTTTCCATTACAGGCATCGCGACATAATTCCCGACTCCCCCCTCCATATTTCCCAACTTTCCCTCCTTTTTTGCCCGACTTTTGCTTTCCTGATTGTTGACTCTCCCCTTGTCTTCTGACAATTGGTTCCCGAGTTTGACAACACCTGTTGGGTTGTAGTTCCTCAGCTGCGGTCACAAGGAGAACTTTTGGCACGGTGTTTCACATCATGCACAGCACACATTCTGAACCTTCAGAGTTTGTCAAGCCAAAGCCGGAAGCTGGAAGTCAAAGGCAGTTCCCAACATGAGGGGGCCTTATCGTCGCATGCGTGCATTCAGGTTTTCCATCAAGAGCGCTCAAGCCACAAAGCGTAAACCGCAAGCAGAAATTAAAAGATTCCAGATCTACGGCATCCCGCACAGGCATTCACGTCTAACAATGAGTTCCTTCCGACAAGCCTTGCAAACGACCGCCTACTCTGTAAGAAGAGTTTGGATCATGTGAAGATGCTGAGCGCCTTTGGCCTGTTCTTGAAGCCCCGAGACATGGCCCCTACCAAGGGCTTGCAACCTTACTGGTTTGGCTGCATTTTTGTGGGTGGCATTGCTGGCAAACCAGCTCTGTTGGATAATGCTACATAAACGCATGAGCAAAACTGCATATTGGGCAATTGTTTGGGACTGCTTTAGAACATTTGCTGAGCTGCCTTGGGGCCTCGAGTTTACAGGAAGGGTGTATTTTGTGTTTCCTTACGTATGTTTTTTGTTCTTATGTTTTTTGTTGGTCTCATGGTGACCTGGTCCCCTTTCCACTCGGAAGGCCGGAAGGAATGAAGGCTAGTACTACCCGTATTATGATTATTAGTACTATTACGATGAAACTGATACCATCATCATTAGTTAGCATTTTTCTTCTTTGCCGATATTGCAATTTTATTTTTGTTTTCAACTGTATCGAAATTGTGCTCTCGCGTGGTGGGTCCTCCCATTAAGAAAACAAGCGACGGGAAACA